GGGAGCCCGATGCGGGACTCGATCCCAGGACCCTGGGATCATGACCTGAGCTGAAGGCAGTCGCTTAACCAACTGAGCCACCCAGGCGCCCTATAGCCATAAATTTCTTCTAATAAATGCTTTCAGTGAATCCTGGAAGTTTTGGCATGTTGTGTTTTCATTTTCATTGGTCTTAAATATTTTCTAACTTCCTTTGAGATTACTTCTTTGACCCATTTTTTTATTTATGTATGTTGTTTCATTTGCACATGTGAAATCCCCAAATTTCTGTCTGTTACTGATTTCTAACTTAATCCATTGTAGTTGGAGAATATACTTCCAGTCATTTTAAATTGAGGCTTGTTCCGTGGCTTCCCGGAAGGTCCGTCCTGGAAATGTCCCATATGCACAACACTGTTGCTGGTTGGAAGTGGAGAGAATCTTAGTCTCATAGAGTTCAAATCTTTCCTTAGTCCTCTTTCTGGTGATTATACCCATGACTAAGAGCATATATTGCAATCTCCCACTATTTTTGAATTATTAGGTTTTTTTTTTCACTTCTGTCAGGTTTTGCCTCCTCTGTTTTGGGGGACTGTTGTTAGGTGCATATAGTTTTATCTGACTGATGGATTGGCCCTTTACTGTTATAAATTGTCCCCCTATTTTTAGTAATTTTGTTTTGTTTTGTTTTTAGAGTCTCTTTTTTTCTGATACTAGTTTGGCTACTGTAGACCTCCTGTGGTTGTTGTATGATGTATTTTTTCCCATTCTTTTACTTTTTTTTTTTTTTTTAAGATTTTATTTGTTTATTTGAGAGAGAGAGAGAGGAAGCATACATCATACATGAGTGGGGCAAGGGGCAGAAGAAGAGGGAGAAGCAGACTCCCTGCTGAGCAGGGAGCCTGACTTGGGGCTCGATCCGGGGACCCTGAGATCATGACCTGGGCTGAAGGCAGATGCCCAACCAAATGAGCCACCCAGGCGCCCCCTTTTAGTGATCTTTTAAACTATATATGAATTTTATTTTCTTAATGGTTGCTTTAAGGCTTATAATATGCTTCTTGCCAGTATCTATTTTTACTAACTTAATTTATACTAATTAATTTTTAATCAGTTAAGAGAGTAAAGCAGAAGAAATACGCATTTTTACTGTCTTTTATAATTACCTACTTAATTACCCTTACTTACACTCTTTCTTTTTTTTCATGTAGATCAGCATTACTATCTGATGTCACTTGCTTTCAACATGAAGAACTTATTTTTAGTATTTCCTGTAAGATGGGCCTGCTAACAACAAATTCTCTCAGTTCTTATTTATCTGGGAATGTCTTTATTTTACTTTTGTTGTGAAAAAAAAAGTTTTGCTAGATGTAAGGATCTTGGTTGACAGTTTTTTTTCTTTTCAGTGTTTCACTTTTTTCTTGTTGATTTCAGGATTTTACCTTT